ATGCCGATGTCCCCAATCGAGAGCTGCGTCGCTTCTTCCCTCCGTGGCTTTGTAAAAGACCGACAGTCCATGAACCCGGGGATCAAGTTCAGCCATGAACTAAGCCCAAGGCAGATGCACTAAAGTGACAATTTTGTTGCATGACCAGTGCATTGAAGGGTGCGCGTGAGGTGTTGGACAGGTCGGGTTCTAGTACGTTTGAGGTTCGTTTGAGTATCCAGTCAAGGCCGCTGCGCTGGTTTTTGCCTTGAAGACCATGTTGATAGAAACTATTTGCCTTGAAGCTTGACAACTAAATCCTCCAGATTTAGTCGAGGCGGGCTGAAAAATCTCGAGGCGGCAAGGCTCGACTTGAGAAAAACAGCTTGCCTTGACTAAATCCTCCGGATTTAGTCGAGGCGTTTTTTTCCTAATCAAAATTGACCATGCAAATCTAGACTTCCTGGCTCCCAACAATTAGATTCTTTGGTAAAACTCCCCGACAATTAAATTCTTTAGTAAAACCTCCCGACAATATCCGACAATTAGATTCCTTAGTGAAACCCCCTAACAATTAGATTCAGATGCGTCATCCCAAATCAACCAGGACCAGAACCGTGAAAAAAAAATGAAACCGGAAATGACTTTTCTAAAGGTTACCCCCCTCACCCGATGTCTAATTCAAGGGGAGGGGGATCTAAAAACCCTGACTGGAGGAAAAGCGGAAACGGTCCATCTTCCGCTTCAATCTACTCCAGGATGATCGTCTAGCCTAGCCCTCAGCGTGCGCATTCGCCAAGGCACGTGGCGTCCACCAGCATGTCTGGATGGTTCATGATGCCTCTGGACGGACAGGACATCATCGCCGTGGCAAGCTTGACGGGGTCAAAACATGTCCGAACCCATCAAGGAGCGCGGCGAGGTTTCCCTCGCGTTCCGCTCGTTCGGTGTTGCGTTTGGTTCTTCGAAAGGACGGGAAGGGTCGGACATCATGGGGTGACGTCCGAACAAGGAAAGCCATGGGCACTGCCATGGGCAACTTAGGGAAATGCATGAACATGGACTTCAACGTGTTTTGGCCAAATTCAGGAATTCGAGTCCCAGAACTACCGCTGCAGTTGAGGGACACTCGGCGATGATGAAAATGAAGCAGTTGAAGATCGTCAGGATGCGGTCCATGATGAAGTAGCGCAAGGCCTTGGGCCATTGGGTGAACTTCTGCTGGGGCACACCCTTCTGATGTCACAGTGGTCCACGACAGTCAGTGAGTTGATTGGTCCAACATATAGGCACAAGCACACACCACACCACACTTCGGCCAAGGCACCAGTTTGTCCCAAAGCATGTCCAATGAAAAAGCGAGAATTGGATGCATGATCGTCTGAGGGTGGTCGAAACGAATGTAGCTGATCAAAGCCCGGGAGAGCATCTTCGTTTCATCCATGTCTTGCAACAGGTGCTTCAAATAGTAGATCACTGGGCGCAAGTTGTCCTCGCAAAAGAGTGGTGGCGCACGATCCAACCTTTAAGGTGCATTCGTGCATTGCCATTCTATTCAATTTGTGAACATTGGATAACATTGGTGCATGTGTGAGAATTCCAAAGCAACCTGAGTGAGGTCCACAGTATTTAGCTCAGCTTGTGTACCTTATCCCACGGCAAGGCGTGGTAGAAGGAAGAAACAAACACGTCCAGCTGCGATTTCTGATATTCTCGGACCAAGTCCATCGGTCCTGGCTCTTGTGCGATCGCCAGATCAAGCCATCCAACAAGGTCTCTGCCAGGAAGGGCGCCTCGCGCAAGACGTTGTCTGCGATGTTGGGCTGGTACCTCCGCAGTCCAACGCCATGACACTTGCACGGCTGCAGTCACGCTGCCGTCTTGAGGCCCCACGTCTGGAGAAATCCACAAACACATGGAGATAAGAATGATCGAATCTTAGCAACCCTCTAAAGCATATCAAACACACCTAATGCCCCTCCGGGGCAGCCACTTGAAGAGCTCATCAGCTCCAAAGTAGTAGTTGTCCCTGTCCTTGGCGCCAGGCACACGCATTGTGCATGCATGGCACGTGCATGGCGCACGCATCGCGAAGCTTTCGCTCTGGAGAAGGAGGAGTCACAGTCACACTATGTCAAACTCATCACTCGCAGTCCTGTGACTGTGAAGGATTATCAATAAATCATAAATCTATATAAATCTATCATCGAACCTGAGGTTGTCTCCAAAAAAGGGATCCCGAATGATTCCAACAACCGTAATTTTCGTTGCTGTTTGCTGGCTTCTTACTTGAAGACGTGGCCATGTGGCTTTTGACTGAACTTTCAAGCACTGGAACACACCGCCTCTTCTTCGAAGATCTAACATCAAGCTTCAGCTCGAATGGTTAGCACGTCTTCGATCATCGTCTTTGCAGTGTCATGAGCCCCGCTCCTGGCAGAAACTGGACTAGTGATGCGAGTAACCTCCGAAAGGACATTAAGGCTACAAATATACCCGACAAAGGACCGCACATATATTTATTCAACAAACAATGTCTGTGTCATGTATATCATATATCGACAATCAATGTCAAAAAATTGTCTTCTGTCAGAAGCAAAGCAAGACTCCTCTTGTAAAAATGTCCAGATTGGAAACCAACACAGTTTTTGCGAATTCATCAGCAGTCTTGGGGTGTTTCAACATCAGAATTGTTGATTCACAATGCTCCGGATCACACCCGATTTGGCTCGTTTTGTTCTGCCAGGACCCATCCGGGGTGGATGAAAGCACTGGGCAAAGCTTGGCATCTCCTCAAAGCCCAGAAGAGTGGCGAGATCGATTGACTGCCCACTTGCACCGCCAGCTGCCACACGCAACGTTCCACCTCATCCGGAAAAACATCGGACATTGGTCACCTCTTCGTTGGAAGGTGGGTGCACTCTCATGATTCAAGGATTCATCCCTATAAAATCGCCCTATTGCTGCATATTGGCGGCTCTAATGAGACACCAAACGAGCAACAAATGATGGCATTCTGGTGGTGGAGTCCTGGTGGGAGTTCTTTCGGATTGACCTGGAAAGAACACCGATCATCAACAACGATGCCCACAGAAACCCTTGATACTACTTGTATTGAGCTTCAGCGCTGTGCGTTTGCTGGCTTCATCATCTCAGAAACCGTTTGCTTCCCCCACCCCGTCACGTGTCCCATGACGAGCAGCACGAGGAGCATCCATCAATGCACGGCGCAAACGCTTGGAATCATCAAAGTGAACTGCCTGCCTGGCCCGAACAATGTGGAATTTGTTGGGGTCTTCCCGGGAAAAAAGCGGTGGCTAACATGAAGGGAATCATGATGAATCTGGAGGTTTCAATGCCAGTCTCGCGGGTCAAGGAGTTGCTACTGGAGTTACTCAAAGCATTGGTAGGAGGCCTGAAGCGGGATCCATGCTCACAGCCACCCTGAAACATGAATCACAGAGTCACAGTGGCATCTTGAGTCTTGAACCCCACCGTCTTGTGACCCCATGCATTAAAAGTTCTTTGAGGAGCCAGTGTTTTGGCCTCTCATATCCCACCGTCCACCGAATGACACCTAGATCGGGATCATACATGATCATACGGCAAATCACCATAGACCACCGGATGTGACTCATCCATGCCATCTGCATGTGCTAGCGATTCTGAGACAACGTTCTGAAGGCATCGATGGGCAAAATGAACATCCAAGCTGCATCACTGCTGTTGACCCATCCATAATGGTACGCACCAGAACACGGGCAGTCAAGCCTGAGTGGTAGGTGTCAATGAAACAGTTTTGAAGGAGTCAGAACCCCATGCCGGCAAAATGAGTAAAAACCGCCGTCAAACTGGTGCGGCATATGCGGCATGGGCTCTGGGCTGGGATGCACTGGTTCAACTAACTACCTTACGCAATCCTGACAGGGATGCGCCAACACGGTCTCACTGGCAGCACTCGTTCGCCACAACTGGCGACAAACATGGTTTTGATATCGAAGGTGGCTCTTGTTGAAGCAATCTTCCTTCGCACTAATGTAAACTCTTGATTAACAAACACCCTCATATGAAGAGGCTGTTCAATTCAACGAACGAATTGTTGGAATGTAAATATGATACTGCTGACTCCCGAGCTTTGCACCAAACTTTCCACGCTTTAATTCGTTTCGGAAAGCTATATCCATCCTATCCCCCCAAACAAAAGTAGTTTTAAAGGTGATCCACTTGTCCTGGGTAGGAATATGATGAGGATAGGTGTGTCTGCGTGATGCCTCCAAGGATGTTTTACAAAGCCGCGTGGCCGATGGACCAACGAAAGCCTTCGATCATCATGTGCTCGGGCATCTCGTTCTCCTTACAGCAGCGTCGAGATGGGGACCATGTACGAAGGTGGAAGGATAGTGCACCTTTAACCTTTGGATCATTTGGATTCATTTGGGAACCTTTCGAGCTTGTAAATCCCCCATCCGATGGCAAAGCACCCCTCCATCCAACCGATTGAGCATATATTCAGCTGACCTGCTACCAGGGTAAGGCAGGTTAGCTGCTCCCAATCTTGTTCAGTTGAGTGTCTGGAATCTGATGCGCTCTGTCCTTTGGGCACCAAATAAGCTTGGTACTCTCCTCAGTCCCACTGCTCATGGCAAATTGAATGGCAAATCTGGGACATGTCTCTCCCCACGATGAGCAAATTTCTTCAACATGCTGGGCAAATATGCATCGTTTCACTGTTTCTTCAGATAAGAGTATTTCTCACAACTGTCACCAACACACCCAGCAAGACACCGGCAAGTCAGCAACTTGGCGCAGCCGTTGCTTGTGGCTTCGGATCATATCAAGACAGGCGGCACCGCAGCACAATCCAGCCAGTGTGCCATGTGTGTACGTATTTATTGGGCAGTTCCCCTGGTTGATTATTACTTTTTAAAATCTTGTGGGAAAGGAGGAAAGGAGAATCCAGGTGCTGCACAAGAAACTGTCGCACCTACCTGCCAGCAATTATGTGGGGACTGGGCTATCTGGCCTACAACATCAAGCAAAGTAGCCACCTCGACAATTGCGTGACATCTCTACTGACGACAGCCGGGTCCATCACAAACGGCACCACAAGTGATCGGGGTCCACCCTGGCCACCGAAGAAAGATTTATCCTATGGCAGGTGGGAGGTTGATGGCCCAGGTTATTCTCCCTGCTTTGGTGTGAAACACTTAGGGTGAACTCGAACAATCTTGCTGCTCGACAACAGGTGGAGTAGTGGTGAAATTCCATAGAGATGGATGCGGATTTGATGTCAACTCTGTAACTTTTGATGCAACTTTATAGCACCCTCGCGCGACGAACCTGGACCTGACAGTACAATACATCCCGTGGCAAGTTTACTTTGCATGTTTGCGCTGCTCGTCCTGTACCCAGTTTAAAAGACACAAGTAGGTAAGGGCTCACCACCAACCACCAAACGAATCTGTCACCAACATTCCCCAAAGTGTATACTGTATCGGCATCGTCGCCACCGGGCATCGGTTCTTAAGCATGGAACATTCCGAAGCCTTCCAGCTTCAAACATACCATGACGTCTCCAATCTTCAGTGGATGTCCCTTCCCAGAACCAGAAGAGTCTGAATGGTAAATTCCTCTTACAGTCTTTGCCAGGCCAAATGAAAAGCAAAGCTGAAAACGCCAGGACACCACGTCATTTGGAAACTCCTGGATCAGTGGGTGCATCACCTGAATCTGGGGAGCAACGACTGATGAGCTCTGCAAGAGGTCAATCCCGCTTCGCAAGCCGTCGCAATCGATGAATTACTAGGAGTGTAGGAGCATGGTGGCTGAACTGACCCGCCTGAACGCAAACCTCCACAAAGGGTCCAAAGAGCTCGATTGGAATGCCATAGCCTCGGCACCAAGAGAGTTGGAAGACCGTGTGTCAGCTACAGTTTTCACTGTTGAGGGGAACTTGGAGATGAGAATATGTCAAAAAGGAAAACATGCAACTGTCCGCGGGCGCGAAGAGAGCAGCAAGGATCTCGTATCTCTAGTCTTGGAGGGCAACAGAACTTTCACAAACATGCTAGATCAGATCTAGCTGAGCACGCCAACCAGGACCAAGTCTTAAACAATTATCTCGAATGGTTGACCGTCGAGTCAGAGAGAACGGGACTGCGCGGGCGCACCCCAAAGACCACCCGAGAAAACCAAGAACAATGTCAGCAATGCAAGCTGTTGGTTTACAGTAATTGATCAACCCCCCATAGGAAGATGTGACTCAATATGACTCAATCCAAATGAGGTATGATTTTTGTCATCAATAGTCTACATTAATTTATTGTTCCTCGTTTCTCTGTCCCCAAATTTCTCGATCGAAGAAGCCGACATGACGCAAACCGAGAGCCGAGAGATCATCCAAGGTTTCCTTGCTGCGACGACGGAGAGGTCAAAGGAGGAAAGGATGGAGGCGTTGCGTGATGGAACCGTTTCCGCTTCTCAGTGTTTTCATGTGTTTTCGCAGTGTTCATCGTTTTGCAGGGAAAACGCTTAGAGAAATCCACTCCCTGCCGATTGGATTGCACAATTCTGGAAATACTGGATTCGCGGTTGTTTACACATGTTTGCCGGGTTATATTCTTTTCGCGCTGTGTGAAGTTGGTAGCTTTGTGCCATTGATGTTGATTGCCCCAGCGCCTCACAATCTGAGGAATCTATAAAGTGATTCGGGGCTTAAAAATTCTGGGGACTTCGCAGCAAAAAGCCAGCATTTGGAGAGATAAACAGGCAAAGAACCAAGTTCTGAGAGATAAAACGCAGCCTATGCCAGCGCTTTCATCACCCACAACTCCAATGACCAAATGCTGGCACTAAAGGGATGAATCATGTGTTCTTTGTTCTGATCTTGGACCTAGAGCCCAAACATGACCGCTGTTTTGAGAGGAAGTTTGACTATATCTTGGCTGGTTGATGATGAAAAGTGGAGGTCACTCAGTTTTTAGGTAGGTATACCTAGGTAATAGCAATGGCCTCCAACCTAATTACTAGCGATGGCCTCCAACCTAAATACTAGCGATTGCCTCCAACCTACTAGCGATGGCCTCCAACCTACTAGCGATGGCCTC